GCGGGGAAGAAAAGAAAACTGACGCGGAGAGGGTGGTTGGTGGTGGTGGTAGTGGTAGTGGTCGTCGTCGTCGTGGGGCGATGGGTAGAAGAGGGCGGGCAGGGCGAAAGAATGAGAGGCGAAGAAGGGGGTTGGGGTGGGGGGTGACCCTCGGCGGCGCCGCCACCTTCCATTCACAGCTTTCCATAAAAGTGTAATCTGTTGGCCGTCACATTACCGTCAATAATGAATGAGCCGCCTGGGCGCCGCGGCGGGGCCGGCAGGGCAGCCGGCAGGTAGGGCGGCACCTCTCAATTAATCCTTCCCCCGCTGACCTGACCTGCTCCACACCGCACGAGTATCAAACATTTCAACGCGGTCAGCATAATAACGCGCGTGCTGCTATCTGGGGACTGCAATATCCCCCCTCCCCTCCACATATACACACCGGGCGCGTACTGGCCGCGAGTAGAGTTCGCCCCGATATAATGTAATCGATGTGGTGACACCGGGCTGACAGGTTTGCTTCCCGTGTCGGGCGCGGCGGCGGCCGCGGGGAGGTTCAATTAAGGGGCGGGAGAGGTGCCGACGACGGGGAGAGAGGAGGGGGCGGAAGTGAAGGCCTGGGCGAGGACGGCGAGGGCTGCTAGGACGGTGAGGGTGAGGACGGTGGGAACGTTGAGGACGACGAGGACGGCAAGGACGGCGAAGACGGCGAAGACGGCAAAGACGGCAAAGAAGAGGACAAGGAGGAGGACAAGGAGGAGGACAAGGAAGAAGACAAGGAAGACGACAAGGAAGAGGAAAGGGAAGAGGAAGAGGGCGAGGACAAGGGAGGGGACGAGGAAGAGGGCGAGGTTGTGGGGGAGAGGCGTGATTACAGCGAGGTGGCCGAAGAGAGTGAGGATGAGGTGAGCGGTGGCGAGGTGAGCGAGGACAAGGAGGGCGACCAGAAGGACAAAGCGAGCGCCCAGGACAAGGACAGGGAGGGCGAGGAGGCCGAGGCGAGAGCGCTGCTGGCAGGCCGGAGGAGCGCGTGGGCCGCAGCCAATGAGCCGCGCTCGCCGCCGCTGCAGTGATCTCTCCACGGAGATCGTTACGGCGAAGCGCTGCTGGGTTAGCAATAACACGGATGCGCACACAAACGAGGCGCCTGGCCCCGGCCCTGGCCCAAAAGGGTTGCAGTCCTCAGCGTCTTGATCCGGCCGCGAGGCCCGCGGGTCCCAGCGGGCCGTGTTAGCGTTAGGTGCAGCAGCAGCAGGAAGGAGCCCTCGCCCTCCCCCGACCCGGTCCAGCTCCTTACTCATTATTTCCGCTGACGGAAGGGCGAACACGAACACCCGCTCACGACTCTGATTGCCCGCTCGTTATCGAAAAAAATCAAACGAAAAAAGAATGGGTGGAAAATGAATCCCCTCTCACTCTCACCTTGTTGTTGGTTAAAAACACGAGTAAAACGGGTGAAAACTCTGAATAGTATCAAGGGGGGAATCCGAGTCCGTCATCACCGAGAGACGTGCGCGAACAGCATCAGCAGCAGGCTTGCCAACAACCAGTGTGTGCCTGTGCAGCCGTGCACACCCAATACACTCTGCACATGAGCCCGATGTACGCCAAGTTGACGCTAGGCCCGCTGCTGCCTCACCTCTGAGCGCACAATCGGGACGGAGGGGAGGGGG